ACATCAGACTTGAAACCGTAGTAAATCTTGATCAAGATCTTGATCAAGTTTTTCCAAGGACATCAAGTGCAGAGGTATCAATAAATCTTGATCAAGTTCTTGATCAAGAATTTTCAAGAAAAAAAATTTTTAAAGAACTTGTGCAGATTTTCTCTTTCTGCAAGGCGTGGGGTATTGATTTGTTGTGGGTGAGCCCTTATCTGGCCATGATCTTATAAGATCATGCCAAGATTTAGTTATTAAACACCTGAAAATTTACAGGCTTCACCGAGGCATACTTGCTGAGAAATTCAAGTTCTATAATATTTTGAGATGAGGAAACAGTCAGGTGGAATTAGTTAGCTTTTCTATTATTTCATATGAACGGTCCCATCTGGTAGAATGGCACCTCGAAGTGTTCTCGCTTTCGATAGTTGATCATATCTGATGTTACTAAAACGTAAATTAGAATATAAAAATGTTGCATTTGTCGGGACAGCGCCAGTAAAATCCGTCCTTTGAAGTTGAGCACATGTAAAATTAACATTTACACAGTTTGACAACTCAAAACTGGCATCGTTTAACACCGCGTAGGTAAACTCAGAATTTTTCAAATTAATCTGCTTCAGTGTAGTATTACTGTGAATTAATCGCCATAGATCAATCGACTGGTAATTATTGTAAATGTCACTAACGTCAGATCGAGAGAAAACAGTTTTTGTCAAACCAACTCCCGTTAAATTTATCGATGCCAACAGATCTAGCTCACGTAAATACCTAATTAAGTAACCTTTGCCTCGAGAATCTTTAAGTTAATTTCAGAAACCGCAATCCGATGTTCCCAAGATTCTCTGACGAAAGCTATCTATCAAGCGTTTTCAAAAGTAGTTTCGATTACTGAAAACCGCAGGTCGCTATGCATCAAGGTGACGGAGCTATTCAAGAAACAATCACTACTTTAGTATTTTGGCGCCAATAGTAGTTATTTTTTGTCTCTTCCAATTCTTGTATTGTTCTTTTTGCGGTATAGACTACTGCTAAATGCATCCAGTGAAAGAATCGCATTTACAGTATATTCATTCCATTGTCCAAGTCTACGATCACTTTTCAAGTGCTCATTAGCTAAAGTTATAGGTGTAAAATATAGTCGTTTATTCCTCTAGAAAAGATCTTTTCTGAGTGAAAGATATTCTGGCTTTGTGAGCTTTATTTTGATATAAGCGTCTTTTTTCTGATGCAAGTAACTCTGTCATTGTTGTTGTTATAAAGTAGCTCATTTTCTCCCACCATTAAAGTAAATAACAGTTTCCCATCAAAGTAAATAATGTTTTATGCCAGGTTTGTAAAGCTTTTTACCTTACCGGATTGGTAAAAAAAATGTTTCGCTAGAAGCTTTCCCTGATTTTTTATTAATATTTTGTCAAAAAAATTGATTAGCATTATATCGTATTCTTAGAGGCACTTGGCCACCAGTTATGGGTGTTTTCTCTTATATCTAGTATTGATCCAGCTCGGGACGAAGCTGGATCTTGAGCTCGGTATGAAGTACAAGAAAATTATTCGGTGGAAAAATTCTTATTGATGATGTTTTTTTCTTATTTTTTTCTTAAGTCTCAACCAAAAAGTTTTCCTTACTTGCCTAATCACAAAAAACATACAACAAAAAGTGGAAAAAATGTTCAGAAGAACTGTTCATTCTCTTTTTTTAAAATCTGACAGTTTTTTTCATAAAAGAACTAGCGTAGAATATACATTCGATACTTTTTTTATCAATGACTTTCACACGATGTGTTTTTAAAGTTTCTGGTACAGATTTTGCTGCTTTGAAGATATTTTCGATTTTAGCAGTTGATCTATCAATATGGCTTTTTGTTATTTCAATTAGAATTATGCTTTTAGTTTTCTTCGTGCTATTTTAACAAAATCTGAAGCTAAAGAACATCGAGTACCACCTAATACGCTTGACCATCGCAGCCTCTTGACTGTTCCATCGAAACTAACGAACTATTTGTCTTGTGAGAAGTTGTAGAGCGAAAACGTTTTGGGCACTGTAAAAAAAGTACACAACTCGCAAGCTACATGTGTCTATTTGCAGGTTAGTCAAAATAAACATAACGATGTATAACACAAGGTTAAAACAGTCGCATGTAACTTACACAAAACTTGTATTCAACATGCAAATCATTAAATAATATCTTGGGCTATATACATGATCCAATTAGCCTCATTGTCAACTTCAAATTCAGCTTTTTCTTTTCATGATGATGTTAAAATACTGTTAGACATAAATAAAAAGAAATTATTCATTAATGAAAGTCATTCTTTCCTGCACGGAAGGGTCGGTCAAACTATAGCAAACACATACATTTTGTTTTGTCTCCTTTTTCCAAATCATCACCACTACTTTCACATTCATTTATTGTGAACGAAGACGCTGTTGTTGTAATTGTTGGTCCATGACGTTCCTGTATTTTAACATCATCATGAAAAGAAAAAGCTGAATTTGAAGTTGATAATGAGGCTAATTATTTAGAGTACCTTCTCTGCGAAATGGTGTAAACCGCAATTTTGTATCACTTCTCGTTCTGGAGTTATTTAAAACATGATCACAGCCCGAGATAGACACTCACGGTTTCCGCTATTCGAAAGAAAGCATCGAGAGGAAACTGTATTCTCATATCAAGTCTTCCTTTACTTCTCAATTAGAACTGAGTTAGAAAAACCTTTGTCTCTTAAATTGTCATCACACTCTCCCTTTAAACAGGTGTGAATGGTAGAAGCTACCATAGTAATTGCAAATAGCAATATCACCAAGGACAGAAAAAACTGGCCTATAGCTATTGCAAAATATTTTGTGTTTTTCTTGTATGTCGGAGTGTAAGCCATGATCTTTATTTCAACTGTATTACTATATTGTGATCTTAGTCTGGCGAACACAGCTGAATTATTATTAACCGGTCGAAGAAGAAATTGATTTTGTACCTGTCCGTAAAATGGTATTGTATAAAACTCGTTTTGACTTGACAGGCTTCCTTCACTTACTGGCCGCATCTCGTCGCGGAAGGGTAAACCATGAGTCATTAACTTAATTATTTTCTTCAGCTTAGTTAATGATATATTATTTGCTCATTCACATGAGAAAATACTTGTCGAACCTTCGGATTTGAGAGTTTCATTTAACTAAAGATTGGTATATATAGAGTTATATAGAGTTAGAATTGTTGGTCCATCACGTTCCTGATGAACACTTCGTATTTCTTCAATAAACAAACAAAGCAATTTTAAATTGATCAAAAATTGTAAGTCATTATCATTATCAGTACCTTCTTCTTCATAGTTTTCCGATTCATTATCACTCTTTTGTTGTTGTGTATTTTGTATTTCTATTAACATTTGATTAAGTGCTAGAAACAAAATAACAAAACTCTATATATACTAATCTTTAGTTAAATGAAACTCTCAGATCCGAAGGTTGGACAAGTATTTTTTCATGTGAATGAGCAAATAATATATCATTAACTAAGCTGAAGAAAATAATTAAGTTAATGACTCAGTTTCTGTTCACCCCATATTATTTCCTAAGGTTGAAAGTTGCTTATATGTTAAACGAAGACTAAATACATTTATCCAGATGCGACATTAATAGCCAAGAGCTAAATCCGCTATCTGTTAATAATAGAGCAAAACATTTGAAAAAGTAAGTGAAAAGAATGAAACTGTGTATGACGAGTCATATTGATTAACTTTAACACTTGCTGTAGATAATACTTCTATTTTATGAATAGATGGTGGAAAGTGACATAACGTAGCAATTATCTGATTTACAAAGGAAAGTAGAATCCACAATAACTACAAACTACCATAATTACTGTAACCGCCTGTCGTGCCTTAACTCTGCCCTTTTCGAAGGAAATCGCGTGACGAGAATCTTGAGAAAGGTCGAAACCGATTGTGGTATCTTCTTTTGATTCTTCGAGAAATGAATTTTGTTTGAGCCTCTAGTAACTCATAAGCGGTTGTAAACCTAAACTAAATTTAAATTGTATCAGGTCCAGTTTCACATTTTATAAATGCTGTTTAATACTCATTATTTCTTACAGGACGATAGTGATCGACTAGCGGTTAGTCAGTGCTACCAGAAATATCTGTTTATATAAAAACGGACGATCCGAAGCAGGGATCCTCACAGGACAGGGTTGCCCTGTCGCCAAGCTCTATCCTGTTGCAGGGCAGGACAATAAAAAGTTCCTTCATTTGTCATGCGAGAGATTGATTTTTCAGATTTTCAAAGTTTTTTTTGGTTCATATCTCTTTTGTTTCTGTTATGTGTTTGTTGATACATGTTTGTGCTTTTTATCTCTTTTATATGTGAAAATAAAAATGACAGCTAACTTTTCTAAAATTGATAATTAATAAAAAAGAAGGATTCTGTTACGCACAAGAAACACATTCAGTATTTGTGCATCACTGAACAGTACATTTATTCGGATATGGTGCAACTTTTATCGATTGATGCATGAAGAAAACTTTGCAAATGCTTAGTTGCTCGTTGAAATACAATTGCAACTGAATTGAATGTAAACGAAAGGAACAGATTCTTGAAGTTTATTTTGATATGCAACTTCACTCACTATATGCACAAATTAACAACAAAGACAAAAGAGTCAATTTTTAGATCAAGTTTAGTGTTACCAAGCCTGTCACCTTTGCCTTACTGCAATGTGGTTCTTCGGTAAAGTGTGACGGTGTCAATCGCCGATGGATTTACGTTCAGTGTTGTTGCTCGAGGATGTACAACGTTCGATTTTGAGAAACGACAGCGGCAGCTGGAGAACATTTTCGAGAGAATGCGAACTGCTTCTTTTCGAAAACTTCGATTTATAAATGAAAATATATAGAATGTCGTGCAATTGCTGATATATGATATCTCAATAGATATTTGGTTAATAAGACTGTCAGTGGCTCGATGTACTGGACTTTTGGTCATGTAAATAGTAATATCGGAATAGAGCTTTTGCGCTGTGATTGGTATTGCATACAGTACAACGAGGATGATAATTTGTGCAAGCAACAATCGAATTAATTGCTTGTCTCGACGACAAGCGTCCTGTAATCTCTGACCTGTACGTTGAATATTGCGAATTGTTAAAATACTCACTGTAATCATCAAGATAGGTGGCATTCCCGAATTGCATATCGTCGCAACAGCATCAGTAATTAATTTGCACGTATTGTCTCTTACATTACATACTTTGTTAACGATTTCATAGCAATAGAAAAATATTGAATACGGAATGAGAAAAACAATAATAACAGTCAGAAGAGTCAAACGTTGAGCTGTACGTCGAGAACTCCATGTACGAACTGTAGCTCGACGAGAAGTTGATAGAAGTCGGTCAATACATGCCAATAGGATAAACCAAGTCGAGAGTGTGATAGTTGTCAAGCGAAGATTGAAGCGAATTTTACATAGAATACTCGACCATTTGGTAGGATCAAGGTTGTACAAAGCAAGAAAGGGTGTAACTAAACCGACATAGAGTGCAGCAAAGTTGGAAATACTACTAGCAACGAAGTAAACTGAACATGGATGTGTTCGAAGAGCAGGACGAGTAAACACGATTATATTCAAAATATTACCAATGGTACCAAAAAATAATAGTGGAAGTGGAATGTAGCGATTGAGTTCTTGTGTCACAAAATTAAGTTGAGCAATCAACAATTGGTCACTAATACTAGTTGCCATTGAAACTTGGAGCTCAACTAAGAAGTGGAATATATATTTTATTAACCTTTTGCTTCACGAACACTTCACTGTGGGCTTTCTCCCATGTAGTGGTAAGATAACTGCACTGTTCTGATAGAAAATAAGAAAGAAGAGTAGCATGAATAAGGCATTACGAGTGACAAAATAATTAAAAAAGTAGAAAAGCGCACTCGAGAAGAATTTCGGAATAAATGACAGCTGGGTACTTCATCAGAATATGCATGCAACACACTTGATTAGTTTGATTATTACATAATAGCATAGCTGATGTGTTGATGAGAGATTCAATAACTTTACCTTTTTATACAATGCGTTATATTGGCAACCACGGATAACTACAGGGTGTCCCAAAAGTGGCTTTCTCAAAGAAAAATTTGAATATCTACGTCATCTTTGGACTAAATGAACTGATTTTTTACCGCTGATAGAAGAATGTTCATAGGTCATATCCATAAGAAAAACGTTTAAAATATTCCTTTAAAGTATACGCTTGACTTCAATAAGACAATCTAATCTATGATGAGTAAGGAGAAAATTTTTATTGCCATTTTTAAAAGATCAACGATATGTCATTTTTTCAACGTTCAATTAATTAAAACTATTCAGTATTGCAGTTTTCTTAACAAATCCTGGTTATTTCTAGTTGTAACTTTAAGGGTGGGCTGAGTAACACTAAACTTGATCTAAAAATTGACTCTTTTGTCTTTGTTGTTAATTTGTGCATATAGTGAGTGAAGTTGCATATCAAAATAA